TTTTTTCAAAAAAAGGGGGGATTTTTGAAAAATTTTAAAAACCCAAAAAAAAACTTTCCTCAAAAATTTTTAGAATTTAAAGGGGTTTTTTCCCAAAACACTATATGAAATTTTCCAAAATATGGGTGTTTTTTTTTTAAAATAATCAGGCATGGGGTTGTTCAGGACAGAATTTTTTGGAAAATCTATCACTTTATGGTTCATTTCAAGAGACAAAAATCATTTTTTTTGAAAATGCTATATATCCGCCTAAACTCAAAAGAAAAAAATTAGTTTTTGGGTTTTACAAGTAAAATTAAAAAAAATAACATTTTTTATAAATAATTGTACAATCGATACATTTGTGACATCAATATTTTAAAAACATTTAAAAAAAAAAAAAAATCCATAGAGTAATATGAGATCTGTATGTAAAACATTTTACATTTTACATTTCAGTCATTTAGCAGATGCTCTTATCCAGAGCGACTTACAGTTAATAAATCACCTTGCCAACAACTCCTGTTGGTCCATTCTGTTTGCTCTTCCAGCTCAGTAGCTTCCTTATGATGGTATAGAAGGTCAACATGACCAATGACAAACAAACATCTAAATGGGTATTACTGATAGAAGAGAGGAGGGGGAACGGCAATCAACGCTAATCCTAAAGCCTCATTTCCTGCTCTTTAGGACACATTTCCCCAAGCCAAACACTGGCGTGTTAACAAAATAACAACCCTCCTTATTTAGTAGACAACGCGGGACAGATAATCACCCAGAACCGAGAGGGGGTGGGTATTTCTCTCTCTCTCTCTCTTCTCTCTACTCTCTTCTCTCTCTCTCTCTCTCCTATATCTATCTCTCTATCTCTCTCTCTCTCTCTCTCTCTCTCTCTCTCTCTCTCTCTCTCTCTCTCTCTCTCTCTCTCTCTCTCTCTCTCATAGTATCAATTAGTCCTCTGTGTCTTTCACCGGCCTCCATCTCCAGATCTGAGAGAAGAGAAAGAATGCTCGACCCATCCGGCGGCACACACACACACACACACACACACACACACACGCACAACGCACAACGCACACGCAACACGCACACGCACCACGCACACGCACACGCACACGCACACACACACCACACACACACACGCACACACACGCGCGCACACACACACACAACACACACGCACGCACGCACGCACGCACGCACACACACACACACACACACACACACACACACACACACACCACACACACACACACGCGCACACGCGCACACACACACACACACACACACACACACGGAAGGCACTGACAATCAACAAGGGCTTCTGAAGGCAAACAATGCTCCAAGCCACTGGCTACTATTAACGTTCTACCTCTAGCACGACCTCAGCTGGTTCAGGATGGGTCTGGATATCTGCAGGGGGGGGGCATGCCACAGAGATCCTACACATTATATAGTGTATTCTAATGATGTACTATTTCATTCTGTGATGCACATTCTACAGCCTCTCAAGGCAGCGACCAACCGGGGGGCTTTGATGCCTGCTGTTCCCCCAGTCTGCAGCACTCCTTATTAATGCAAATATATAGTGAGTAAACAGCCCTCTCATTGGCTAAACAGGCCTATAGACAGCCCTCTCATTGGCTAAACAGGCCTATAGTTTGACTGAATGGGTCGCAGCAGGCTTCGGCACCCCATGCTTATTGTCTACACAGAGAGAGAGAGAGAGAAAGATCCTTTCAGAAAAAACACATGAATTTCACCTGTGATCTGATGTAAAGCAACACGTAAAAATATGAAACTACACATGTAAAAACATGAAACTACACATGTAAAAACATGAAACTACACATGTAAAAACATGAAACTAAAGCAACATTTGATTTGAGATCAAAACGCATCACAGATAATAATAGTTACTGTGAGTCATAATGTCAGTCTGAGATCACACACACATTATCCCACAGCGTCAGTCTGAGATCACACACACATTATCCTACAGCGTCAGTCTGAGATCACATACACATTATCCCACAGCGTCAGTCTGAGATCACATACACATTATCCCACAGCGTCAGTCTGAGATCACACACACATTATCCCACAGCGTCAGTCTGAGATCACACACACATTATCCTACAGCGTCAGTCTGAGATCACACACACATTATCCCACAGCGTCAGTCTGAGATCACACACACATTATCCCACAGCGTCAGTCGAAGATCACACACACATTATCCTACAGCGTCAGTCTGAGATCACACACACATTATCCTACAGCGTCAGTCTGAGATCACACACACATTATTCTACAGCGTAAGTCTGAGATCACACACACATTATCCTACAGTGTCCTTCAATTAGGACGGCTACACTTCTTCACAGTGAAACACTCTTCTTAAGTTAACTACACATTTACCCAGAGAGAGAGAGAGACTACTACTACTGGGTAGTATACAACTTATAGAAGGAAATGAATACTTTATTGATCCATACAAGATGGAAATGTGTCTTCTGTATAATATAAAGCAGCACCGTCTATTGTACTTATGTATAGTATAGCATAGTATAGGATAGAACAGTACATTATAGTATATTAAGTATAGTATAGTATATTGTAGTATATTATAGTATAGTATAGAACAGTATATTATAGTATATTAAGTATAGTATATGTAGTAGATTATAGTATGGTATTGTATAGGAAAGTATATTATAGTATAGTATTGTATAGAACAGTATATTATAGTATAACATAGTATATTATATTATAGTATAGCATTGTATATAACAGTAATTTACATTATAGTGTAGTATATTGTAGTATATTATAGTATAACAGAAAGCAGTACGAGAGTCTACTCTAAGCAGTACGACCGGGCCCCTGTGTTAAACTATAAGATGTGGTTGTTTGTGGTGGTGGGGTTAGCCGTTGTCTTGTGAGTCGTGAGACACACGCCGTCCGTCTCCCCGTTCAGAGCATTCCTGACCAGGCTGCAGCAGAGCAGATGGTATTAGATGTCAACTGATTTAACTGGAGCTGCTGTTGTTTATTCTGCCAGTGGAGAGGAGTCTCCTGCAGGGGCTGGTATGTTTCGCTTCGCAGCATCGAAAATGTAAACTCGGTGCTGAGTAATGAGCGCGTAGAGGATATCCTATCATATATACTTGAAACATTTAGGAAGCAGATTTATTTAAATGTTTTGCAATTGTGATTGATATTTTACTGGATTTAGATCGAGGTGTTTGTTTTTAGAATGTAATTTTAAAGGTTTGATAGTGTTAATTTAATTGCTGAGCTAAAAAAAACAAACAAGTAAAGTTGATTTGGGCATGACTTGAAAAATAAGAACTAGACAACAGTTATTGGATATATTTAGGAATATTCATGTGTGATCAAGTTAGTGTTGAAAATAACATTAATGTTTTTCATATAAGTAAATCATTTACTTAATTAATTTGCTTAATTGTTAAGAGTATATCATTAAGTCCTAAGAGTATTTCATTATTGAACATACAGTTTATACATTATCATACATTTTCATATATATATGTTTTCACTTATATGATTAGTATATTAATATTTATATGAATAGTATATTAATATAGTTGTAATATATATTTGTCCTACTCAAGTAGCTCCATTACTTATGTATTTATATTTTTTATGTCATCACTGAAATACAGTTATTTAATATTATGACGGTTTCGTATGACATTATATTATCTAAATATTATTATTATATTATCTAAACTCCACACTAAAACAAAAGCATTGCTTTTTAAATAAATATGATACACATGAACCAATTGCTATTTTGATATTTTGAGCAGTAGATTAATAATGTCAAGACATAACCACAATGTATGTGGTTATTCACCTGGTCTAAATATTAACATAATAACTGCTGTTATAAATAAGATGACTTTCTGCCTCAAAACAAGGTGTTAAAACTATTTATTCGCATGATAACAAATACTGCCAATATATCTATATTTAAATATTCACTCATTCTATTGACGCCTTAATTAAAACATTTTCACAGTTTACAATATAGATGCCTGTAAGTAATACTAAGTTAGGAGTAGAGTAAGTTTTTATATAGCGAGCCAGTGACAGGCAGTCACGCAGACATCAGACTAACCAGTCTAACAGTGAAACAGCATAACATAGAATACTGTTTTTAGAACACAAAGTCATACTCACCCCAATTATGGTGGAATCCCTGTACTTTTGCTGGTAACCCTTCCTTTAAGTTTCTTTGTAATCTTCTAACCGCCAAGTCTGTCCAGTCCAGAACGACAAGAAGAAACTTTATCAAAATTAAAGTTCTTTAAAAGAGTTGGCAGAACCTGTAACGCAACAAATTACCGGCTACAAGACAACTTTTTTTCTTTTTCATTTTAAGTGTTAGAACCCATGGAGCCCCCGATACACACACTAACTGGGATCTCAGGAAACAGAGACAGAGTGAGAACGACAGTTGTCTGATTACTGCTTCAGGCAGCGACTAGAGAGTGTCTGAGGAAGAGGGAAAAAAAGAGCGAGAGAGAGAGAGAGGGAGGGAGGGAGGGAGG